TGGGGGCCAGTCTGCAAAATGAGCTGGTTCAAATCTCAGCCCTGCAAAGGGTCAGCGCGGGCGCGAGGCGAGGGTGAGAAATGAGCGTTCAGGGTTTGACTGCCCCAGCCCCGCCGGCTCCCGTGCTGTCCTCCAGCCCTGGAAGTGCCGAATCGGACACCTCCCGGCTACGCTGCCTATGCCGAGGGCGTTATTCGAGGAGGGATGAGGTGCAAAGCTTTGATGGGGTCCAGGTTTGGAGCGCTCCGTGGTTCTGGGTTAATGGCTCTTGCAGAAGGAGTGTGCGTCACGCCAGGGACGAAGCGAGGGTTGGCCAGAGCCCGCGCGGGGACTTGGGGTGTGACCTTAACCGACGGGACAGCAGCCGGAGCATCGCAGCCTGCGCGGGGGGCGCTTGGCATGGGCTGGTGCCACTGAGAGCTGGGGCCTGAGCTGCCCTGCATCGCTCTGGGGGTGATGTGCTGACCCCCCCGGGGGTGATGTGCTGACCCCCCGGGGGTGATGTGCTGACCCCCCGGGGGTGATGTGCCGACCCCCCCTGGAGGTGATGTGCCGACCCCCCTGGGGGTGATGTGCCGACCCCCTAGTGCTCCCCGCTTCTCCATCCCGAGCAGCGAGGCTGTCGAACGCTGCTCCAGCTCTCCGAACCCCTCTTATTCCTCATCTTCTCCTTTCCTTGGAGCACAAGGGCTGCCTTTAATAGACCTTTCTGGCAGCAGAGGGACTTTCTAAAGCTGCTCTCAAGCCCAGGCTCCGAGTCCTTCACCGCCGGCAGTTCCCTCGCCCCGAGTCCTGAGAGGGTCAGCCCCAGGAAGGATGCCAGGACAGATGGATGCCCTGCAGGCTTGGACAGCGAGCTGCCTTTTCAGCTGGAGTCACTGGAGATGCTGGCCGGCCTGGTGTCATTTGAATACTAATAAACCACACTTTTTGTTTCAACTGTAGCCCCTTTGTAAAAGCATCGGCGGGCACAATGCGGCCCCCGGGTGCTGTAATCTGCCCGGGGGAGCCAGCGCAGCACATTTAATGCATTCAGAAATCAAACAGTGCTGATAGAGGGCTTTCCCCCAGCCCTCTCCCCACACTGCTAGGTATTTAAAACAGCCAGCTTGGCGCTTTTCCCGCATCCCGGGTCTCGGCTGGTCCCAAATTCAGCGAGCTGCCTTGGTGCCTGGGACAATAAAAACAAGCGGGAGGTGAAGCCGCTGGGCTCAGCCCTTGGGTCTCGGGGGCAGCAGGACCCGGGGCTCCTCTCGGCCAACACAAACGGAGAAATTCTGCTTCCCGCGTCTGCCCTGGGAAGGCAGCAATGAGTCCCCAAAGGTCTTTCGGAATTTTTTTTTTTCTTCTTCCCTCCCTCATTTCCTGCTTACACCTTTCAATCTTGCCTTCGGCGAGAAGCCACATGCCAGGAGTGCACGGGATTCCTGGGGCAGGGCAGGTCGGCCTTGACCGCGGCAGCCAAGCCTGAACATGAAGGGGTTTTTTTCCATATATCCAATGTTTAACCAAACTCTAGTGTTTCGACAGCTGGCGAGCAGGGTTTTAACCACTTGGGCTGGAGATTTAGGAGCTTTCACCAGCACCCTGTGTCCACAGGGTCAGGGATGGGTCTGGTGCCTTCTTCCCTGCGGAGCCCAAGGCTGCTCTTGGCCGTGGGTTTGGGCGTGGGGTTGTCTGGATGAGGCTGGTGGGATCTGTCCTGCTGCCGGCAGATGCACTCCTAGCTCTGCCACGACATCCACACTCCCTACTCGGGGCATCAGGATCTGTCTCAAAGATATTGCTTTGATCCCCATCAGTGATGGGGTGCCAGGGGTGCAGAGGAGGGGCAGAAAATACAGCCACAGCTCTGATAAAATAAAAATAAAATAAAATAAAATAAAATAAATGCTTTAAAAAAATCATACCTTACCCTCCTATTTGTGACGTGGCTGGTTGCTTCCTCGCTTGCTCCGGGGCTGTCCGGCGCAGGCACCGATGCCGCTGAAAGGGACCCGCCGAGTTAAATGGTTCTTGTCTGGATTCCCACAGAGGATGGGGACTTCTTGGCGCTGGACCTCGGTGGCACCAATTTCCGCGTGCTGAGAGTGAAGGTGTCTGACAACGGCCTGCAGAAGGTCGAAATGGAGAATCAGATCTACGCCATCCCCGAGGAACTCATGCGAGGCAGTGGGGTGCAGGTGGGTTCAACCCTTCCCCCTCCCCGACCCCGCTCTCCTGGGCAGCCCCCTAAACTGCAGGGCTTCCCCCACGGGGGGCAACCACCCATCTTGGGGCAGTTCTGCCGCCTGAAGGGAGGGTTGGCGTCACCCCAAGACCCCGAGCTGTGTAATGGGGTTGGAGCAGCACCCTATTGCTGCCTTGCCCAGCAGGATCTGGGTAGATCCTTGCCTTCCTTTGCCTGGAGCTATTAATTCCTGACACCAAGGAACCATGATGGGTGAGGACCACCGGTCCCTCAGTCGGGCAGGGACGCAGGCACTGGTGCATCGTTGCGGCCGGGGCAGCCGGGCGAGGGCTCACTCCTTGCCTTTTTCTTCAGCTCTTTGACCACATTGCCGAGTGCTTGGCCAACTTCATGGAGAAGCTGAAAATCAAAGACAAGAAACTCCCCCTTGGGTTCACCTTCTCCTTCCCGTGTCACCAGACCAAGCTGGATGAGGTGAGTGAAGGTCTCGCTTCCACGTGAGGGTTATGGCTGAGCCTGGGATGCAGCGGAATGAGGGCAAGCTCTCGCTGGGGGCAATCGCCATCCCACACCGATTCAGCTCGTGCTTTTTTAATGAGGCTCGTAGGGTTTGGGTAGTGTGTAAGGTCTTGGTGCTGCTGGGAGCAAAGGATGTGTCCTGGGGCTTGCAGGGGGTCTGGGAGGTGACGTTTAACGTGCTGGTTGCTCCGTGTTTCTGCTCGGCATGGATGCCTCCATGGAAAGCAGCGTTTTCCCCTCTGCAGACAGAGCTCAAGGAGAGCGGCTGCGGCGGGGAGAGCA